TTTATTTTATTTTATTTTATTTTATTTTATTTTATTTTATTTTATTTATTTTATTTTATTTTATTTCATTTTATTTTATTTTTATTTTTTTAAATTTTTATTTATTTTTATTTATTTTTATTTTTATACTATGAAATTTATTGTCAAATTGGTTTCCATACAACACCCAGTGCTCATCCCAACAGGTGCCCTCCTCAATGCCCATCACTTTAAAGTTCTCCTCTCCATTGCTCAGGAAGTGGAGTTTTCACTGTTTCAGCCCTAAGAGTTCTAGCATTGCATATTTTGCACAAGTGTAACGTGCATGAGCCGTCAGTCCCCAGGTTCTCGAGGGTCGCTATAATCCCTCCATCCCCTTCCTTTCTTGCTACCTCTATCTTAGGATTTAAACAGGTTTGGATGCTTATAGTCTTTATCCTGTCCCTGTGTTCACATCACTTTCTAGATTTCTGCCATGCCATTCACCTCTGAAGTTCTCTTTTAGGTGCGTTTCTTTGTTACATACTGGAAACAGAATGAGTGTGTGGGTCTGAGAGATAGGATCTCCATAGGGGATATAGTCAATGGTGTTGTAATAGCATTGCATGGCGACAAGTGGTAGCTACGTGTTAGCATGATTTATAGAGTTGTCTAGTCACTATGTTGTGACCTTGGGACTAATGAAACACTGTGTATCAACTGTACTTCAATAATTAAAGAAAAATAGCTAGGATATAAATTCTAGTACCATAACTTACTAGGTGGGTGAACTCCATCAGATTAGTTAATTGTTCCGAGCTTTGGTTTATTCAGAGGCAAAATGGATATAGTAATGACTTCTGAGAATAGTTTTAAGGAGTAAAGTATGCAAAATGTTTAGCTCAGTTACAGAAACACAGTGTGTTTAATAAATACTACTTTTACCTTGATTAACTCTTTTTGTCTTTGATCTTTCCAATGGTTAAAAAAAAATTTTATCCCAGTATAGTTAACCTACAGTGTTAGTTTCATGTGTACAATACAGTGATTCAACAATTCTATACATTACTCAGTGCTCATCATGATAAGTGTGCTCTTAATTCCGTTCACCTGTTTCACTCATCCCCCAAAGCACCTCCCTCTGGTAACCCTCTATTCGTTCTGTGTAGTTAAGAGTCTGTTTGTTCCTGGTGTGTCTCTTTTTTTCTTTGTTCGTTTGTTTTATTTCTTCCATTTCACAGATGAGTGAGATGATATGGTATTTGTCTTTCTCTGAATCGCTTACTTCACTCAGCATTATCCTCTCTAGATCCATGCATGTTGTTGCAGATGGCAAGATTTTGTTCTTTTTTGTGACCAAACAATATGCTCTTGGGTGTATATATGTATGTGTGTTTGTACCACCTCGTCTTTATCCATTCATATATCTATAGACACTTGGGCTACTCTCATAATTTGGCTATTGTAAATAATGCTGCAATAACCATAGGGGTGCATATATCTTTTCAAATTAGTGCTTTTGTATTCTTTGGGTAAATAGCCAGTAGTGGAGTTATTGGATCATATGATAATTCTATTTTTAATTTTTTGAGGAACCTTTTTACTGTTTTCCACAGTGGCTGCACCAGTGTGCTTTCCCACCAACAGTGCAAAAGGGTTCCTTTTTCTCCACATCCTCACCAACACTTGTTTCTTGTGTTTTTGATTTCAGCCATTCTGACTCGTGTGACATGCTATCTCATTGCAGTCTTGATTTGCATTTCCCTGACATTGAGTGATGTGGAGCATCTTTTCATGTGTCTGTTGGCCATCTGTGTGTCTTCTTTGGAGAAATGGTTGTTCATGTTTCCTGCCCATTTTTTTAATTGGATTGTTTGGGTTTATTTGGTGTTGATACAAGTTCTTCGTATATTTTAGATTCTAACCCTGTATTGGATATGCCATTTGCAAATATCTTCTCCCAGTCAGTAGGCTGTCTTTGAGTTTTGTTGATTGTTTCCAGTGATTTCTTTTTCTTTTTTGTATACATAACATGATTTTTAGAATTCATTATTTGAAGAATTTATCCCTCTCTCTCTATGTATCTTTCTCCAGTCCTTTCTTTTTAGATTTTATTCATACCTACAATCCTAAGACAAAACAAAACAAAACAAAACAAAAAACCCTATTTCTACTTGATTTATGTCCCCTTTTATTTTGCAAGTTTGTGTAGAACTTAACATTTTTTTTGACAAATAGTGTTTTTATCTACATGAATTTTCTCAACTCTTGCCTACATCTTTACTTGTATATTCAGCTTTTATTATTCCTCTTGTGGAAAACATTTGTTTACCCTTTAATGGGTTAATGATGACTGGGTCATTGCATGTTACTTAACTCCTCATTGAACCCTTCACTCAGTAGCTGTTAGAGTTACTCAGTTGAATAATACATTTTTAAATTAAATGTCCAATTAATGTCAATTCAAACATTTACTGAACACTTCTATGATACGCATTGAGCTAGGTGCTCTAGGAATTACATAAAACTCTGTTTTTATGTATTCATGCATTCATTCATGGAACATATTCTTGAGTACTCAAGATCAGATTCTGGATTTGAGGTTCAAGAAACTGAGACAAAGATTTATCTCCTCAAGGCATACAATCAATAAAAATGATAAGACCGTATATTAACTTTAGTGATTTAGATATGGATCCAGGCATTATGAGATGGGCTGCTTCCCCAAACCTTTCTAGATTGGGAAAAGCTTCACAGCAGGGGGCGTACTTAAAGTCTGAGTAAGGGTCTTAAAGTCCCCTGGGAAGATAGGACCTCTACAAGGGTTTAGATTGTGTTTGGTTATTAAGCCAGTTGTGTGAAACCCAACTGCTTGTGTTACCCTTGACTCTCTTCTTGCCTTCAATTGTATGCATCCAATGTTTTTCATACTTCTGTTTCTTTTAGGGGTCTTACAACCAAGAGAATAACTGAAAGATAGATGTGATGATATTATAGGTTTGCTTTTGTGACCTAATTACCACAAGGATGCCTATTTCCACATTCTCACCATAGCAATAGTAACACATATACAGAAAAAATAATCTCATGATAATATGATACATTACAAAGTATTTCTCAATCCTTCATTTCATTTACTTCTTATAGAACAGCTTATGCTTGTGGGTTTCCTGAGTGTCTTAAGCACTGCCACTGATAGATAAGAGCACAAGAATTATCATTGAATAATTACGTGTGGAGGATTTGCAAAGAATTTTTCTCTTTTTATTCCAAGATGATCATGCTGTATTTTCTGATTTTTTTCTAGATCACATGACCAGGTCTGCCCATAACGAGGCGTCTAGGACTGTGTCCCTCTACCACTCTGTGCCTCAGCTTTGTTACTTGTCATATGGGAATATTGCTGCTATTACTAACAATGGCACGAACTCCACCTCACTGGATTGAGATGAAGAATAAAATATTAATCTGTGTGAGAGCATAATGTATGTAGCTGGTCACAATCGTACACACAAAATGCACCTTTTGATTGACCAGATTGTCAGCGACTTCAGTCGAAATGAGCTCAACTTAATTTTTACCTGTTTCTCCAAGCTTTCTAAGGTAGCTTCATGTCTCAGTGTCTCCCGTTTAGCCCAAAAGTGACTGCAGGCAAGTGCTATGTGTTCAGTAAACACTTGTTGATTGATTTTTTTTTTTTTTTAAGTACTGACCTTCTGAAGTCCAGTGCTGGAAATGTGTAAGCCACTTATATTTTTCCTTAGGATTCCTAAAGCCTGTCATTTAATTTCTAGATGATAAGTTCCATTGATAGAACCCTTATAAATATCGCATTAAGAAGCTGAGCATTACCTTTAGGCCAAAGCAATTTAGTTTTTAAAAATCTGATTAATTTCAACACAATCAGCCAGGATGTCAGAAGATCTCAGTGCCTCTGATAGATGCTGACAGGTGAGGAAATTAAAATCAGGGAGGGAAGCAATTAAATACTGGCAAACATTACTTTAATGAGACAACCAAATCATTCATAAGCCATGGAATATGTTGTATTCTTGATAAGTATCTTAGGGTGGCGGGTGAGAGAGTGCATTTAAAAATGTGCTGGAGTGCATTTAAAAATGCTCTTTGTACCTGATCTGATGATGGGAGTAGAAACCTTTCAGTGTTTGTTACTTAATGCCTTTGGCCTGGTCTAACATTTCAGTTGTTTTCAGAGATAGAATTCCTAATGATCATGTTAGAGATTATGACGTTGTTTAATTGAGGCAAATCTAGTATACCATTTAGTTTAAACAAGGAAATAATTTAATTTAAACAGATCTTACCGATCCTTTCACCCCACCGCTACCACTACCTAAAACTTAGGCAAATGCACAAAATCCAGATAAAATAATTTTTGGCCTTTTCACAAGTAAGTGGTTTAGGGATAATTGTGGTCAAGACCTATGAAGAGTGGGAAAAAAAAAAAAAAGAAAGCCATTTTATACAATTGCTAATTCAAAAGACTTGGGAATTAGAGTGCTAAGAGCAGAACCTAGGAGCTCAATTCTCATTCAGCTCTTCTTTTCAGAATAACACTCACGTAATCAGAAAGGATATCTGCGAACACAGAGCTAGCAAGTTACCTATTAATTGCATTAATTTTCTTAGTTCAGGGTTTTACAAGGCTCTGTCATATTGTGCTCATTGGTCCTATAGCACTTGTAAAATATCAAGTATTAAGAGGTATCTTTACATTGGCTACAGTGATTCTGATGCCAGTTGGTTGTGTTTGTAATGTTAAGTTCATCTTTCTAGGATTGTGTTGCTTAAAAATTGTCCTGGGGTGCAGGTTTCGGTTTAGAAGGTACCGTGGTTTGTGAAAAACCTACTGGAATGGTTGTCTCTGCTCTCTTCATTTCTCACAACCTTCCATTCCTTTCTGCCTTTGTTCCTTATTCCCCACCATGTTTCTTTCCTCTCTTTCTTCTTCATGGGCTTCATTTGCCCTCCCCTGGTTTTCCTGAAATAGAGTGTAAATTATCAATTATTCTATACCAGCTCCAAATAGGCCTGGTGAGTCTTGCTTTTGTATATATTTAATTAATAGGTTGATTTTTGTAAATTAAATAGTGAGTATACAAGTTTCTTTATTTTGGGTTGAAATTGCTTCTGAAAATGAGAACGTTTTTCTTGAGAGAGGATGGGTGGTTTGACCAAGGGTACAGACTGCCAGGGTCTCGGTCAGCGGTCATAAATACAGAGGCAACTAAGGATAACTGAGTTTATTAGCAACATGCTAGAGTGGGGTTTGTCATTTGTCCAAGATGTCTTTATGGGTCTAGTGGAGAACTCCATTGCATTAGGTAATACCCATGAGTTTACCGAGGACACATGACATTCAACCATGTGAAGAGGGCCGGTGAACTTCTCAGCTAGGAGGCTTCAGCTTTTCTACTGTTTAACATGAGACTTATTGACGAGAGAGAATTCAGGGGCACTGGCTTCTGTTGTTTCTGTGGCTTGTGTTTTGACAGTTTGCCAAGAAGGTTGCATCTCTGAAACTGCCCTGGGGAGAGCTGAGAAAGTCTTCATGGTAACCCTGCATTGAACACTTCTTTTGCCCCAGCTTAGTAATGTGTCACCTTCTGGTTAGACCACAGATGTGAAGTCTTCTCTGTCTCCTTTCACTTGCAAAGGAAGCAGGACTCAACACTAAATGTGTTTTGGTGCTTTGACAATCGACTTTTAGATGGTATATGCTCCCAAGTGGGAGGCTGCATCATGTAATAGAAGGGTCCTTACTGGTTTTGGTATCACAATTTGAGGTTGCATTTTTACCTGCTCCATATTAACCATACGATCTTTAAAGTTTGGTTTCCTTGTTGATAAAGTTGGTCACAAAGATGATTAATGTTTTGATTTGGGTGGCTTATGACAAGAATTTCTTGCAGAGTATCCTATCAGCCATGTCCTACTCTTAATCTTATTTGAGTCCTATATGAAAATGGGATAGATGAGTAAAACTTCCCAGAAGTCTCCTACTTCTCAATAAATCTGTCCACTGTATTCAGTTCCCTTGGTCTTCTGTTGGAAGCTTCATCTCTCTGAACCTAAGGGGCAAACTTTAGGCACAAAGTCACAAGCTTTAAAATTACTTGAGATGTACCTGAGGTCTTTCACCTAAGGCCATATCTCTTGCTTCTTGGCTTGAGGGGACACTTCATTTTTCAATTTTCAAGTGTTGTCTTTGGAAACACATATTCTTTGTTGTTGTTGGGGTGAGGCCATGTGAGATACACATAGTTAATATTGAGGTGCTTTAGAACTAGGCGTACGGATCAAAGCAATTCCCACCCCTCAGGTATTCTCTAGTATTGTGTGTTTATCACATCGTCCTTTGATCAGATAAACATGGGCTCACATGAGGAAATATTAATGTTTTGTATACCATCACTTTCCATTATCTACAGATAGGAAATAATGGAGGAAAATCTTCCCCAAAAAGTTGAACTGAAGTTTGGCTATGAAGTAGATATTATAAGCCCCATTTACATATGAGGAAATTGGCACTCAGAGAGTTTAAGTACCTTGCCCAAGGACATTGTTAAGAGGAAGACAAGTCTGACTGGCTCTAAATCCCATGTGTTTTTGCTGCTTTTTCATGTCAATCAAATAGCTGGTTTCATTTTATTATTCCCTCCTCCCCCCAACCTAGTGGATAAAGTCAGTGAGTTTGTGTTTTCCCAACCTAATAGCCCGGGACAGACTAAGATATAAAAGAAAGATCACTGGGCCAACAGGTGGAGCCCAGAAAGTCCAAACTCATACCCTGCTGTATACTATACTGTGTAGTGTTGGGCAAGTTACCTGCCTTTCCTGAACTTCGGTTCCCACATCTGTAAAATGAACACAGTGATACTCATTCCCTGTATGTGTGTGAAGTTAATCATGAGAAATATGTTAGTTCCCTTCTCCTTCTCTCTGTTCCTCCTGGAGCTTCTGTTTCCTCACCTGTGAAGTGAGCAGATGATTCTCTTCCTGCTTCTTCACTGGGTTGTTATGGAGTGAAATGAGATGACGAACGTGCAAATGTTTTGCAAAACAAGAAACTGCTATATAGATAGAAGAGTTTATGATTATTAATGATACATATAGCTTAGTACCTAAGAGTAACATTTACCTATTTTATTTACAGACGCTAGCATAGCAGTTTGCTGAACCTGGTGTCCACTGACCATTTGAAGAGCTAGTTATCTGAGGTAAGAGAGGATAGGCATCTTCGTATTTAAGAATTGCTAATGGGCAAGTTACCCAATAATGTTTACAGTTGATTTTACTCCCAACGGAAGAAATACAAAAGTATTTCCTGAGCACCAAAACCTGAAATATGGCCAAAGCAATGAACTGCCATCCTTTTATCTTTTTTTGATTTAATTTTCCCTTTCTTCTTTTTTTTTGTAAGTTTTTAATGTATATTTTTATTTTGGAGAGAGAGAGAGAGAGACAGAGCGCAAGCAGGGGCAGAAAGAAAGGGTATCTGAAGCAGGCTGCAGGCTTCAAGCTGTCAGCATAGAGCCTAACGTGGGGCTTGAACTCTTGAACTATGAGATCATGACCTGAGCCAAAGTTGGTCGCTCAACCAACTGAGCCAGCCAGGCGCCGCTAATTTTCCCTTTCAAGTCCTAGCACAAAGATCTGGGCAACGCAGAAGACTCAGACTTAACAATTATTTACGTACCCATGATATGCTGTGTTCTTATCTACTCTTTTTTGGTGTCCCCAGCTAGCATGTGGCAGGACGGCTTCTCTCCAGTTTCCGAGCCCTTGACTGGCTGAATTTTTCATTACACTATGCTGCCATGCTACCTGGCTTTGAAGGGATCAAACTCTACTTGGTGGGGGCATCTCTCAGCTTCCCTAGAAAGATCTCAAAATGACATAATCCAAGGCTACGACGATGACAACAAAATCCTAAGAATACAGCAAGTGAGTTAGAGGTTTTTGAAACTCAGGACCCATAGTATCCAGATGCCACTGTTCTGGGGGACCTGTGTGAAGGAGATAGACTTTTGGCAAAAGAGTGTTATTTGCGTTGAGTTTGTCAAGAAAACAGAGGCCAGAAAAAAAATTCAAAGGAAGCACGATAGTTGCAAAATGTGCAAGATGTGAGTTTTCTTTTGCGGCTAACCGGCTCATAACTGCACTTCTCAGCTAGGTCTGCTGTATTCGATGTCATCTATGAGAAGACTTGCGCCATAAAGAGGAGACACAGTCAATATGGTGGGCCTAACTGCAGACCCTGCACTGTAGCAACTTTGTAGAAGATTTTATACCAGCACTTAAAGTACTGTAAACATTTGTTTTGCTGAATATTTCAGTAATTGTGTTGGTATGTTATTTCTATGATCTTGAACTTAAACATGGCTTTAGTTACAGAGACCTTTGAAAACATTAAAGTCTGTCGCTGTGCCCCATGTTTGTAGGACTTAACAGTTTAGAATTGAGTGGAAATGATGGTATTACAGTAACATGTTTTATTCATTAATATGGTTTTAAAAGCTAATATTCACACACATCAAATAAGAACACGTCATGTGTAAACAAGGTGGGTGACGCACAGCCTGTGAAACTCCTCTATAATTAGATCAGGATGGCAGCCACTTGTTTAGATTTTATTCTCATTCCCACAAAAGAGATGGTTACAAAAAAACCGGTAAGGGGGGGGGGGCGCCTGGGTGGCTCAGTCGGTTAAGCATCTGACCTCGGCTCTGGTCACGGTCTCATGGTCCGTGGATTCAAGCCCCGCTTCGGGTTCTGTGCTGACAGTTCAGAGCCTGGAGGCTGCTTTGGATTCTGTGTGTGTCTCTCTCTCTGCCCCTCCCCTGCTCGTACTGTATCTCTCTCTATCTCTCTCAAAAAAACTCCGTAGTGGCCAAAAATACATGAATGGCTCCTGCCCATCTTTTGGTCCCTCTCTAGTCCATAAAATACTCCTGCAAAAATTCCGTTCCGATATATTTCCTGTACTTTCGTGGATAAATATGTTAGAAAAGAATGTTCTGTAGACATGTAATATCAAAATTTTGGTAGCTCTGTTAGGAAGAGGTCTGAGTTGTTCATGTCGAAGCTGCAGTTCATTAACTTTTCTCCAAATACCAGTTGTTAAATATTAATAGAGTAAGCTTTGAAAAGTGGCTGTGTGCCCCCCTTCTGCACTGAACGCATCTTGAAACTACAAATAGGAGTTTAAACAAGCCTTGAAAGGTTAAGAAACAGTTGCTCTCCAGAAAGGTGACTTTTACCTATATCTGATCCCTCCATCCTCTGTATTTTGGAGCTCGGGATGGGTGTGAGAAGGGAAAGGTAAAAACTGCTCAAATAACCTCTGGAGGGTAGAGAAGGACATATTCTCAGGGCACGCTGCAGAAATTTAAAATAATCTGGTGGTAATAATTGGTATCGGTGGCAGTAATGAAGAAAGAATAACAGTTTAAGTAAATAATTAGACTTGACAGTAGATGTGTCAACAGGTACCCACTTAATGAGCGTAATCATTGTTTTTCTCCGCTTTCAACGTTGATCCACTGACTGTGGTGTGTTCCCTGTTCCACTTCCAAACCAAATCTATTTAAAGCTGCGCTTCATGGAATCTGAAACCCTGCACCCTGTTTACTATTTAGAGCTGATACCCAGTGTTCTTCAATAGGCAAGATCTGTACTTGAACGAGAATAGGCTTCTGGCCTCCTGTAGGCCGTTGATTATCCTTGTTTTCCACCGGGTGATTCATTAGCAAGGATGAATAATACTGAATTAATTATCATGGACTTGTCTATATTGCTAGAGTGAATTGTTGATTATAATTTGATGGAAACAGCCCTCCTGTACCTTAAATTAAATTAATCAGTTACTGCTTTTTTGAGGTGGAGGAAGAGGCAGTGATATTAGAATACATGAGATGATTTTCTTAGTTACCTGGATAGAATTGCATTGTTTGGGGGAGCGAAGCCATGTGTTTTATGTTATGTTGTGTGAAGCAGAAGTCATGAGAATCTAATTCTAATCCCAGCTCTGGCTGTGTCACCTTGGCAAGTCACTTTCCCTCTCCAGGGGTCCATTTCAGCATCTAACAACAGATGGAGTTGGACCAGTTGATCATGGCATTACTTCTAGTCAAATGTCCTATTGTCTGTGATTTTGTTTCTTAGCCAGTCTTTTCTTTCTCCTCCTGTCATTTTTCCAAAGTCATAGGAAAGTCTTATGACTCTGCTACGGAGCCAGTGCTGGGAAGTCGGTGTCTCTATTATCCTTGGTTCTTTAACGTACCAGAAGAGCAGTTTATGATTTAAATTCTGTGTGTACCATGATAGAGTGTTTATGCACGGATCATCCCTTACCTCCAGCAACGTTCAGTTTCTGGTTAGAAAAGAGAAACAAAAATCCATCTTCCTTCTTGTTTTTCTACTCCATAATCTGGGTCCATTTCTAGAGGGTCTAGGACACTTATCCCCTGGTTATGTTGATGGGTTCCTCTTCTGTTGTTGACTTTTCCAGGTTGAGTCATTGACCTGTAAGAAGAGGTCAGAATGTCAAAGCCAGAGGGGACTTTAAGAACCAATTGGGGGGTGCCTGGGTGGCGCAGTCGGTTAAGCGTCCGACTTCAGCCAGGTCACGATCTCGCGGTCTGTGAGTTCGAGCCCCGCGTCAGGCTCTGGGCTGATGGCTCAGAGCTTGGAGCCTGTTTCCGATTCTGTGTCTCCCTCTCTCTCTGCCCCTCCCCTGTTCATGCTCTGTCTCTCTCTGTCCCCCCCAAAAAATAAATAAACGTTGAAAAAAAAATAAGAACCAATCGAGCCAGATTCCCTCCTTTCAGAGACTGAGATTTGTGGTCAGGGAGGGAGTCCGATCTGTCTGAGATATTAGTGGCAGATCTTGGTCTAGAACTTTTCTTCTGACTCCATAGTTGTAGCTCTGTTTCAGGAGAGCTGTCTCTTTCTATAAACTGTCCTTTCTGTTCCCAATATTTAAAGGGCCAATCTCTTTTGGGCAAAACCCGTCTCAGTGTCAATGCAGGGATGCAAGATGCTTTTAAAGCAAAAATGGATTCCAGGCATCTTTGTTAATTCCTTGGGGCAATGGAGTAGAGAATTCTGGCTGGCTTCTGCTGACTGTTTTTTATTAGGAGACTATGGATTCCCCTGCAATCTTTCCTGTAAAAGATTACTTGACCCTGACATCACCACTGTTTCCTCCACCCGCCTCCTGCCCTTTTTTGATCCAGTGAATTATAGGAAGCTGGGGATGAGCTCCTAGCTGGCTGTTTACTGTGCATAGTTGGGAACATTAATAAAGGGAAGACGGATGAAGGATTGATAAGCAAGAGGACAGGAGAGTAATAGCCAACACAGTGAAATCTAGTTCAAGGCCTGTAATTCCCAGGTGTAGTGCTACACAGGATTAATAGCAGCGTCTCTCATTCTTTCAGACTTTCTCTCTGCTTTGTTCTTATGGGACTGGGCTGGGCCTGAGAAGCAGCTGGAATGATCTTTGCCAAAACCAAACTCATGTTTTCATGAGATTTCCAGGTCCAGAGAAGAGAGTAGTAATTATCCATCATTGAGAAGATAATTTGGAAGCCACTGGATCTAAACACTTATCTTGGACCTCCTAATACTGAAATACAGAGTGTGGAAATCATTTTACTGAGTCTGAAGTTCATTCCGGCTCTCATCAATGTGCTTTGACTCTGGTGAAGCCATGACCTTCCCTTGAACCTCAGTTTCTCCATCTCTGTGATGGGAAGAGAAGGAGGGGTGCAAGAGATGATGTCAAAGCTTCTCTCATTCCTGATTTTCATGGGTCTCTGATTAGTCTAAGGCCCCATGGCAAGTTCGCAGCTGAGCCAGGCCTTGAATTCAGAAGCGTCTCTGTGTGCTTTGGGGTGCCCGTTACCATAACTTCTACTGCCCGTGGAGGTTCTAAACAGTGCCCTTGCATCCCGCAACCTTTTAAAAATTAAATACATCTTTTTTCCCCCTCAGTTGACGGGTCTCTTTGATTTTGTCAAGGGACTTGCCTAAGGCAGTAGTTTTCAATTTGTGTGTGGTGCCTGTGTGTGAGGCACGGGGCGGGAGTCGAGGGAAGAAGATTATGGAATATTTAAAAACTGAGGGGAATCTTTGAAATAATTAGAAAATGCACATCTTCAGAGAATGCTGTCTATACTTTTAGGAGGTTTGTAGGCCTTCCGAAGGCCAATGG